CTTAAAAAAAAAAAATCAACACTTACGATTAACTCTGTGAAAATCCAACTCGTTGATCAAGGTGAATAACAAGCTGACTAGTAGCAGTTTAATAAGCTTCAAATCTCATCCTCTCTGTGCACGTCATTACAATGCAGGCTTAGAAAACAGTAACTAGTCCAGTTTTATTTGACTTTTGGCTCAACAACATAAACTACAGAACTCCCATTAACTTAAGGTGTTCTATTCTGTCCTTCAGATTTAGTGATCTCCCACAAAGAGGTCACTTATGCACAGTTACCAATATTTACTTTTTCATTAATTTCCACAAACAATAATCTTTCAAAGATTATTTCAAAGATTGGACAGCTGAGCTTACCTGGAGGTGTTCCTCAGGAACTATAACTGGCCCACATCTCGTATGGTCTGCGCAGGCTTTTTGGCAATATCTGTGAGGGTCAGCTTTCCTCCTTAAATATTGGTTTGTCACACATTGCCTTCAATGAAACATGAAAGACAGTCAGCACTGTTTTATTATTAGAACAAAAGTCTAGAATAGTCTGAAAGTATTATACTGGTATTTTAATAAAACTTTCACAGTGAAAATTGTTAGTTACACTGCTAGGGAGGACATAATGCTTCCAGCTGTTAATGGTGCATCCACAGGTTCAAAGAGAGATTAGGAACAGGTTCATAAATGGGGTACATATAAAAGGGAACTGGCAGCATGTATAGCCTTCAACATTTCTGACAAAACAAAATGCAGGTGTCGATAATGAAAGGTTGGCAGATTTGTGTATACGCCCTAAAAGAGCATCTGCTACTCCCCTGGGTCAGGTGGTCTGATTCAGGAGGGCATTTCCTACACTCTTATTCTATTCTACTTTTAAAAGCTATACAACACAATGTTAAATATCAAATATAGCAAGTGATTTTCAACAAACTTTCACCTACCTGCTTAGTAATACAGTACTTGTGGATTTGCGCACTTGAAACGTCTTCTCCAAATAAGATATAGCTTGGGGGAAGAGTTTGTTCTGAACAGGACAAAAAAAAATCAAAGTCACCCACTAGCAGTGCAGACACAACTCACCTGAAAGGCACTAACTATCGACTTACATGAAATTTGCCAGATGTTGTGGTACAGCAGAATAGGGGAAACCCAAACTCCCCAAGAAGTTCTATTACTATCAACATATTGAAGAAATATTTTGTTTCAGTATTCTCATATTTTGTTATTGGAATGACAAAATGGAAAGGGAGCCAGTATTAATTTCAATGTACAGCTTCAAAGAGGCTTTTAAAAACTACATGCACATTTCTTACTGATACCTTTGCACCCTGGGATACAGCAAACACCTGTCAAACTACAGTCTGCAGAACACTGGAATTATTTCTAATAGAGGCATAATCTATACACAAAGCCTTGGTTTCCTCGACTAGAGGATATTAAATTGCTGGTATTCAAAGCTTCTAGTTAAATTGATCTTAAACTTAATTTTATGCATATAATAAAATATGTAGGTACAAAAACAGGAAGCAAATATAACATACCTTTATGAGATGTCTTTTCTCAGTCAGTAAGCTACATTTAAAAAACAAAACAATCAAGCTTTAGTTGTAAGGTTTCCATTCTCAGCCACGGAGACAAAAAAAAAAGAAAGAAGCTGCCACAACATTATACTCACTTCTCAACACTAGTGTCATATACAATCTTGATTCTTAGCTGTTGATCCACGTTTCGCTTCGAGACATGATTTTCCTTGAGAGGAACTTGAAAGACAACCTGGCGAGGAGAGGTACGGGCCGCTGGATGAGGCAGCTCAGCGGGACAGACACAGCACCCCGAACCCTGTGCTCCTTCTCACCGCGGCAGCACCGCTCCATCAGTCCCTTCCAGCCCCTTCCCGACCCTTCCCTCACCGGGGAGGAACCGCCCCGCGCCCGCCCGCCGCCGTCACCGACCACACCCGGGGCCGCGGGGCCAGACCCGGCACAGCCCGCCCCGGGGAAGCCGAGGACGGACGGACCCAAACAGCGAGACCGGGGAGCGAGGGACCATCTGCTGCCCAGCACCCCCCCACCGCCGCCTGAGGAGCCCCGCGGCGGCCGCACCTGGTCACGGCTGGGCACACGGTGGTCACAAGAGGAAGAACCGGAGGGAGAAGGAAGCAGCAGCAGGAGCCCGGCGGTGAAGGCGGCGAGCCCCGGGCGGGAGCGGCGGGCGGCGATGGCGCGCCCGCCGCCCGGCTCGGCGGCCATCTTGGAGTGCCCGTCCGCCGCGTCGCCATGGAGGCAGCGCCGGGGGAGCGGCCCCCGCCAATGGGCGGGGGGGGCGGGGCGGCGGCGGCGGGCGCTGCTGATTGGGCGCGGCGCCTCGAGGGGCGGGGCAGGCGGTGAGGGGGAGGTGGCGGGCGGGGCGCGGGAGCGGTGTCCGGGGTCTCAGGAGCTCTGGGTTTGGGATGGGCTTCCAACATCACCGAGTCCAGCAGCTAAGTCAGCAGTGCTGTGCTAAAGCATATCCCCGAGCGCCACATCTACACGTGATTTTAGCGCTTCCAGGGACTGTGATTCCACCGCTTCCCCGGACAGGCCGTTCCAGTGCTCGACCACCCTTTCTGTGAAGTAATTTTTCCTAATATCCAATCTAAACCGTTTGAGGTTTAAACCAATTAGGCCATTTCCGCTTGTCCTGGCTCTTGTAACCTGGGAGAAGAGACCGACCCCACCTGGCGACAACCTCCTGTCTGGTATTTGTAGACTGATAAGGTCACCCCTGAGCCTCCTTTTGTCCAGGCTGAGCCCCTCCAGCTCCCTCAGCTGCTCCTCACAAGACTTGTGCTCCAGACCCTTCCCCTGCTCCATTGCCCTTCTCCGAACATGCCCCAGCACCTCAATGTCTTTATTGTCCTGATGAGCCCAAAACTGAACAGAGGATTAGAGGTGCCTCACCAGTGCTGAGCACAGGGGGACGGTCACTGCCCTGGTCCTGCTGGCCACACTGTTCCTGGCATTCTTGGCCACCTGGGCACACACTGGCTCATATCCAACCATCTGTCAAACAGCACCCCCAGATCCTTCTCTGCCTGGGATTTCATTTTTCATACACAGTAGTCTTTTTCCAGCTTCTCAGTCCACAAACATTGTACAACACAGTATTCCTAAGCTTCTAATATGAAAATGACTAAAGAAGCTTCTACCACCAGCACCAGGGACAAAATTCATCTGTGTTTTTGTAGTGCTCCATCTTGCAGCTCCTGCTGCTTTCCAAGGTGTTCAGGTATAATGAGGGCCACACAAATAGAAAGTGGTGGCTCACTCCACAGCTCAGTGACAGCAGCAGGAGAAGCCAGTGGATGGCTGGTGCTTTCAGCTAAACTGAGTTGCTCTGGCTGCTGCAGTGTTTCCACAGTACAGAAAAGCACCAGAAAAAGCAGAGAAGGGAGAAAAGCATCCTCACCTTTTCACAGGGAGCAAAATCTTTTAAAACAGGAGTGGGTTAAACTTCGTTTAGCTTTAAATGGGAATTTATGCAGGACATTCATCTGAAGTGCTGCATGGGCATCTGCTGTGAAGAGCAGAAATTTTTTACATTGCCACCTACAGATACTGTAAGCCCTTTTCCCCTTTCCAGGCAATGAGAACATCACAGTGGGGTTTTAAGACATCCTGACAGCTATTTGCAGCGCAGGTCTTTCTTAGACTAAGGCAGAGTAATTTCACCTGGAGTTTGTGTGCACAAACCTGTCACATGGACAATACAGGAAAACAATTTTGTCTTCCAAGACTTTATAGCATATACTCAAATGTAAAGCAACAGTCTAATTGAGGTGTGTTCCTTTGTGTAAACAACTCAGCAGTACAATGTAGCTGTTTAAAATTACTTTTATTAAAACTGTGCATACAGCTTCTGATTGGCAGTTGTAAGAGTATCACCTGATTAACTGCACAGCATGCAAAGATGTACAAATGTCATTAGTTACTTGTTTAGGAGAACTTTAAAAAATTTCAAGTTGTTTAAGCATGGTGAATTATGCCCCTGTAATTGACTCTGCAAATTAGGGAATAGATCTACAGAAGGGTTAATGTTTCTGCACTGATAAGACAAAATTAAAAGTCCCTGTTTATGGTCTTGAAAATTGCAGAAGCAGTGATTTTGTATGTGGAAGCTTGATGTAGGTAATCCAGGGTACCACGGAGAATTCCCCTAAGAAACAGGTATGAATACCTGTTGAATATGGTATGAATATCAATGTCCAGTAATTTATACCTAGGGAATAAGAAAGTATGCCATAACAGGGTAAGGGGGGTGTGTGAAACAATGAGTGCAAAGTGAATGTTAAATATTGGAAATTTTTTTTCTTCCAGACTTTCAGCACCAACAAGGGTGAGTGGATTCCTGAGAATGACTGAAAACTCTGCTGGTGAGTGAGGTTATTGAAATCATAGAATCATAGCACTGTTTAGGTCAGAAAAGACCTTTAAGAATCTCTCAGCATGGAGCATTTTGAACAAATCTTCACAGGGAGCCAAGCACTTGGTGCTGTGCATTGTCATTTCTAGAAACAGGCTGCTGTACCACTGCTAGAGGCAATGTTGTCAGATGCCTTTTGTACATGGTGAATACTGGAACATGGTAGGTACACTGACCTACCTTATGCCACTTATTTCTGGCCATAGGTAAGGCAGAGCAGCTCCCTCTCCGACCACTCTCCTCTGCCATGCACAGGAAAAGATTGGAGCTGTTCTCACAGCTCTTGCCTACATCTCTGCATAACTGAATTTGAAATGTGAATATTGAAATAGCATGTCCAAAAATACTTGCTTATGTTGGTCCTCGTTGAAGACATTTAAACACATGGATAGATCAATAACTACCTAAGGAAACCTAAACATAAACAAGAATAAAGAACTGCCCTGTTAATTCACACATGTAAAAAGGCACTAAAATTTTCCAGACTATAAAGGTTGTTCTATTATTTGAAAGTAATAAGGTATTCCGGATATGCCTGAATGTCATTAAAAATGACAAACACTGTTGGATTAGACACATTATCAACTACGCTGTCATACAGGTCAGTAGGATCTGCTGGGTTCTTTGGTGGTGGAGTGATTAGTCCAGCCTTCCCAGCACAGTACTCCCCAGTGAGGACCCGAGCCAAGTACATGTGTTTTTTGCCATTCCCATCCGGAACAGAATACTGATTCTGAGCAGAATAACTTGCATGAGCAGCAAAGTAGGTTCCGTTTCCAATGGCTGCAGCTGTTTGGAAACACAACATTTTCAAACAGAGTTAGTGTTCTTATTCTCATAGGAATCTCTAAAGCTCCCCCCTTTTTTTTAACTCTGCAGATGTTATAAATTTAGTGAGAGTTTTAAACAGAAAAATCCATAATAATCCTTTGTATCAGGATCAAATATGAACCCACATAGATATCAGGTAAGTATCAGTGCCCAGGTTTTGACTACCCCCCTTCCTATGGGGAAAAGGGCTTCTCTATTTATTTAGCCTTGTTTAGCATGCAATCAATCAAATTTCAATTCTTCAGAGACTTTTCTACTTAAAATTACTATACAGTTGCCATTACAGTTTTCTAGTCACACTTCCCAGCAAGTTAGAGGAATCACATGTCTTTGTCCGAGACAAACTTCTTTTTTCTGACACTGGTAGAAAGCTGTTCAAGACAGACAGGTCCTTCCTGTCTGGCTGCTCTGACATTTGGATACTTTTGCTTGGCTACCCAGCCTGACAAAAGGGAAGCTGCCTTTCCAATCATAAATCATGTTTGAGATGAAAAAGTGGATGTCAATACTGACAAACAGAGAGAGGACATGGGGATCTAGCGCTCTTACTTTCTGAGTAAATCCAGCCTCCTGACAGGAAAGTGAAATTACATCTCCACTGGTCATGTTTTAAAAAGAAATTGTGGCTGCCATTCCTACCTGTGCACAACCTGATATATTTTGTGTATGATGGGCTTCATTTATTCAAGAAAATCTCCGTGTAAGGACCTCCAGAGGATCCGGGCAGAGAAACGTCTACTTTTGGATCCAGACCACACCAAAGTGTCAACTAGATCTGAGTTAAGCTGCCCAGCTCACTCAAGATCAAGTCAGCCCTAGGCATGTACAAAGAAGTCTTAAGGGAGAAGACATTAAGAATAGAAGTTAAGGACTTTTGAAGTAAGGTGATGAGGTCTCTAAGAGCAACTAGCACCTCAATTCAGTCTAAGTTCCACTTCTTTGGATCCTGTCCTTCATCTTTGAATGCTAGTAAATAATAAACACGAGTGTACTAGAGCAACTGGACAAAGCAATCTTTGAACTAAGGCAGAGCGTCTTTATGCTAAATATTTAATAATTGTCTATTAAATAATTCCTCTATCATATAGATTATTCTCTGGAGTTATTTATTATTTTGTTCTCCAATTTCATTCAGTCTTCATGTTGTGCTGACAGCACTATAATGTAGACAGTCCATAACACCCATACATGTCTAGGAAATGAACTGATTTGAATAATGACTCACCATTCTTTCCAGCAAATCCACGATTAAATCCACAGTGGTTGATCGTGCTCAGTGAGGATGCAGCTGTCCCATGAAATAGCAACTTCTCATTATTTTCCTTTTTGTTCTTTTTACAGACAGATTTTTTTTTTATTTGGTATGTCTGCCAGAGGAAGGGATTTTGTACTCTTTCAATCTGCAAAATTACAAAATTAACTATATTTACCCTGGTAGGAAGGAATATTTATCATGGCAGGAAAGCAGTAAAATGAAATCAAAGCGAAAGAATGACAGTCATTTTCACTATGCCCTGTTAGTATGTGGTTTGGGTAGGGGATGTTACCTCCTGAAAAATCAGAAACCAAAGCACATTACAACAGATTTTCAAGCTTAGTAATTTTGAGCATATGTTTGTCTTGCCTCTCCAGTATACCAGGTACACAGCAATCATTGTGCTGTGCATTGTCATTTCTAGAAACAGGCTGCTGTACCACTGCTAGAGGCAATGTTGTAAGATGCCTTCTGTACATCTCAATCATCTTTACTGATGATTTCCTCACTAAAGGATAGGCTGTAGTGATAGCATTACATTGAATTTGTTTCTCTTCTAGATCTAAGCCTGAAAGTCAAACTTGCTTCCTTAAATGCGTAACTTAGCAACACATAAGAAACTCCTATATAAAAATAAATTGGTGGGAGGATAGATGTTGCTGGCTCCCTATGCCAACAATCTGAACATACTCAAGGAAAAGCAGTGTCTCTGCATCAAAATATAATCTGAAAGGCACTGCTGTTACATCTTCCCATTTTTATTGGAAAAAGACATCATGTAATTACACGATTTTTTTCTATAATACACTGATATTTTGTTCTAATTGTGTTTTTCTGACCATACTTATTGAAGCTCCTGATAGAAGAAAATTTTCAAACACATTAGTCTCACTCTTATTTTGACTGTATTTTCTCCTATTTATCTCTTCTCCTGATTCAGAATGATTCCATCTTCTCCCTGGCAATTAAGTCCCTGTGCATTCTGTTTCAGATTTCTTAATAAGCAGAATCAAATCTTGACACTTTGGTTAAAACCAACAGCTTAGTGAAAGGCTCTGGGAATGACAGGGAATGACAGGGAATCCTTGTGTTCTGAACCCGCTTGCTCATGCTTCCATTTCAATATAGAGTTTCATAATTGGAAACACCACATTAACTAGTGGGTACCACATTAGTTTAACACAGAGTCAGCCTAAAGGCTGATGGTCACCATTTTTGCACTATTAGAAGGCAGAAATGGCAGAACAATTCTTACAAAATTTGCTTTGCTTTTTATCCACCCTGTAGAGTGCCAGGGAGGCTGAGATATGAAAGGTGTATTGGGTTGTAGACACCTTGCAAACAAATATTTAGAAAGTATATTAATGTTTCTAGCCCAAGCATGGACATTTTTCCCCCCCAGAGGATTTCACCTTCTCTATGGTAAAGTTGCCACAGGTTGTCCTAAACATCTTCTCAACTGTTCTATAATCCGGATGTGATGTCTTGAGATTCACCAGTTTGACCTGTTCATTTTGCAAGTCTTCCCACTCCTTAGGGAGCTCTGTTGATCGCAAATATGTAAAACAGAGATTACATTATTATGATAGACAACTAGCTCAGCTTCACAGGCACATCTTAAAACCAACTGCATAAAGGGGGCTAAGAGGACAGTATCGTTCACAATACTTTATTCTACAAGTACTCTCTCTCTTCCAAACATCACTGGCTCTGTAATGAACGCAAAGTTAAAATTTTACATTTTTTCTAGTCCAATTATTCCCATAGCAATACCTAACTAAAACAAACTGGAAAACCCCACTTCATACACCACTTCCTTTGTCAGACTTCGGCATGAAATCTGTGCTCACTAGTCACATATGTATGGATAGTACTTAATTTTAACATTGATGCTCTGGTTTCAGTCACACCTGCCACTAGCTATGAAAATCAAAACTGCTGGCTATGGCATGTCCAAAAAAAAAAAAAAAAACTACGGAATACTTTACTTTTTCTACGATACCTGAGATGGCATTTATCAGAAGCATCATTCATTAATCACTATTACAGTTTTTTGTTATTTAACAAAAGTGTAATTCACCTTCATTCTTTGACACACGCTGAATGTTTATAGTTTTTCCTTGGTCATCATGAGCCTGTAGAGTATTCAGATCCACCTTGTAGTTCTTCTTGTTGATTTTGACATTGAGATATGGTTTTTTAGCTAGTCTGGCATCCTCCAGCTGCATATTTGTCCGTTTATCAAAAGCAACAAAGGTATCGTTGCTTCCTAGATACCTCCATTCTACCAGGTTAGAAAGAAGTTCTGCCTTGGATTGTTCTTCTTCAACATCCTTCATTTTTTGGATCATTGTCTGAATTTCTACCAAAACAAACCAGACATCTCTGCTAATACCAGAAATAGTAATTACTGGGGGAGAAAGTTTACTGTCAAGCTGAATGGTGACATGCTTTCTTCTCTGGAGATCTACTAAAGTAGCAATTTCCCTCTCACCAAAACTTTCAATTAGCTCATTTGTAAAAGTAGTTTCACTCTGTTCCTTTAAAATTAAATCCTTTATCCAGGACTCAGCTGCATCCACATTTTCTCGGCTTTCTCCACAAATTTGAAACGTGACTAAATTGACTTTCTTCTCCAAAATCATGGGCTTTTTCTTCTCAGTAGACTGCTTTTTGCCCCAAAGCAAGGCTGTAAATAAATATATGTCACTTATTAGTTGTAAACAGAAGAACTTCAATTTGCCCATGTACACAGAAAACCCACCTACTTACATTTAAGCACAGAAAACCAGGAATCCGCCGTGGATGACTCCAAATCTTCTCTTTTCTTCATGCTTTCATAGAAGTCCTTCAGCATATTTGTCTGGAAGATGACGATTTTAATTGTCTGTAAATGCTGTACTGATTTTTTGCTTGCAAATTCCACTATGGCATCCAACATTTCATCAGCCACCTTTGCTGGACTCTGTCCTGCTTGACCTAAACAAAAAGAAAAGGCACGTAGCAGGGAACAGTTTCTTGTACAAGTCTACTGTTACCCACATTAAGTTTGTCCCGGTTTCTGAACTATCCCCATCAGAGCCCTCATTGCTTTCCCAAGAAAACACAAACCTGTTCCAATAGCTGGGAAGGCAACAGATTTGTACATCCTTTGCTCACACTCGTGAAGCACTTTGGAGACCTGACTCTTCACGTGGTTATTGGAAAGCAAGTGAATGATTTTACTGCACAACAGATTTCCACCTTGTGTAGTAATAAAGCCACTTTGATGCTGCCCAGCTGGAAGAGAGAAGAAGATAAAGAAGGAGACATTTTCAAAGGGGCTATCTCTTCTGGAGAGACAGCTGGTTCTCCTGATCCTAGAAGAGAACATGAAGAAGTGGAAAGAGATCTACGGTGAACTATATTATCCTGGGTTTAATTAATTCTCTGGTTTTCTCTGTAAATACTCTGCAGAGATTCTTTGAGGAATCAGTTCAAGTAAATGTGTGTTTTTCAATTTCCTGAGATCTCTGCTACAAAGTAGTTTCCTATTAAGTACAAGGTAAGAATTTAGGATGACTTTAAATACAGCTCACTTGTATTTAAAAGCATGCCAAATTCATTTATATGAGAAATCCTTTCTTATTCCACTTATTTTTTTATGCAACTAGAATGTGCCTTTCTGTGCTCATAGAGGCCAACCTCAGAGAGCTGGAATTTACAGCTCTACTGTTCTGCCAGAATGCAGAGAACAGAGGAATTATGATAAGGTTGTCCTGGTTTCAGCTGCGATAGGGTTAATTTTCTTCTTAGTAGCTGGTATAGGGCTGTGTTTTGGATCCAGGATGACAATAATGTGCATAACACACTGATGTTTAAGCTGTTGCTAAACAACTGGGGAAAGAAAAATTCTCAAAGTAGGTGTCAAAACAAGAACGGGACTTTTCAAAATTCCTAAAAGTGAAAGCTGTCTTTTTCAGGTGAAATAATTGTGCCATCAGAGTAGAGAATTATAAAACAACTTTACATTTTCAGAGAGAACAAGAAAAAACAAAAAATTAATCAAACGAAATAGTGTGCATCAACATACCATATTGAGCACATTCGTCTACCACCTGGGAACCAGCAGCATCCATAATGGCTTTGGAGACCCCTTAAATCACACAACAAAAGTGTACACATTCGTTAAGTCAAGTCAATACTCTGCCCAACTTCTGTACTCTACAAATGCCCTAAATTTTTGTATGGCAAAATCCCACAAAGTACAAAACCTTGACTGTTCCCCTAAGTCCCCTCCATGGCACACTGCACTGGCTGCAGACAGAACACTGCCTTCACTGCTGATTACAAATCATTAAGAACAACTCCTATTTCATTGTTTCACCAGCCAAACCCATATGGCCTTCACCAAACTCTCCCATGGCTTTGAATGTTATCATTTGGTATCTCTCATGCGTCTAATTCACAGTGTCAGAACCCTCTGCTTCTTACAGGTCAATTTACTTAACCAGGACTTTGGCTTATAATGAAACGTTTTAGGACAAGAGCAGTTTTTCAGAATTCTACTTGATCTAAACGTTCCCTTTTATTTAAACATTTTTGGTTTCAAGCAAGAAAAATCTGGCCAGATGCCTTCTGTTTGGAAAGTAAATTGAATATTTAGGACACGTAAAAAAGCGATTGAAGTCTATTTCGGGATTAATCACAAATCCCTCTGTCTCATCTGAAAAATATTTCATAAAAGTTTCCCTTATGGACAATTCTTTCCCCTACCCCCTTCTAAAAACTATCCCAAATTTATCCCTAAATAACTACATCTTCAATACAATACCTGTTTTGGCATCGAATGATGGATTTGATATGTTTACAATAACCTCTGTATCTTCCTTGGTAATATCTCCACTAATTGCTTGGAGCGTGATGGAACCAATCCTCATTTCATGAACTCCCAATACTTCAGTAGAAACAGGCGTAATGAAACCTGCAAGGGAAAGAAAATATCTTCAGTCACTTCTCCTCTAGCTTGGGATATTATTCTCTTCCACTGATGGAAACTTCTATTTATCCTTTTAAGGAATATGCTCTAGATCAGTTTGATGGATGTCCGCTGTCTCTGCTTTTCTCTTTACTCCATTTCTGAAGGCTGGAAGCCACAGTATTCTTCCTGCTCAAACGCTGTCAAACTGAAACCATTTTCTATTCCTGTAAATTCTTGCAACATGAATTCAGAAAATGGCCTCAGGGTTTGTCTGATCTGAGCAGCTCTGTAACACAGCTTCCTGAATTAACCCCTACAAGAAATGGAGTATCCAGCTTTAGCATTGCCAGTAATGGCGATCCCATCACATCAGTTTTGCAAGTGATTTCATCTTTACCTTCACAGCTACAAAACTGTTCCTTCCTTCTAGCCTAAACTTCTCTAAGTCATATTTTATCTGCACACTCTTAATTCATCTCTCTGGTACCCAGCAACTGAGAAGAGCGAGCTGTATATCCTTATGAATAAGCCTCTGCCCTTGGAGCAGTTCACTCAGATGCTTTTGCTATTGGATCACATCCATTCTGTCTATATATATATCTCTATAGAGGAGATTAAAGGTACAGAAATACATATCACTCATGGCTTGTTTGGCAAAGTTCTTCCACTTGGGTTTCCTATTGGGACACTCTCTTCCATATGATAAGATTGGCCTCACCAAGAGTTGAGCATGCCCTGGACAAAAGAATTCCTACAGATTTTACAAATGGTATTTAAGAAGGAAAGTCCATTAGGAGGAAGAAAAATGCCCTGTGCCCTGATGATTTATTTTGTTTCCTGATACATATAAAACCACTCCACAGTATTTACATTCTCCCCCCTGCCCCACCTCCTGCCCCTACACAACTTACTTGGCTGTGGTGCTGCAGCATTGCAACTTGCAGCTACCCTATGTTCTAGTTCAGTGGTAAAAGCCTAAGGAGAGAAAAAAGGTACCAAAGACAGTATTTCACAGTTTATCCATGGAATGTTTCTATAATTAAGATTAACAGCCACGTAGCTCTTGCTGAGCCCCCTAACGGAATTTACAGTTGTATTTTGATGTCATTAAGAACAGCTGAAGACCCAGTGTGGACAGTGTGATAAGAGATAATGTCTCTGAATTGCCAGATCTCCTGTCAAAAGACGAGGGAGCATCTACAGGCATTTGCAGCCAGCAGTGAGGCCAATTTTGTCTGCAGCTTGTGCTTGCTGAGAGTTTATATTTCAGAGACACTGGAGAGACATCCCACTGTCAGTGGCCCACAGCAGTAAGAAAGTGCTAAATTATTCCCTCGAGAAAGCAATATAACTAAAATATATTAGTAAGGCACAACCAGAACAGTACGTAACATAGACAGCTTTGTCCTGAGAAAAACTACCTGAATGTTATCAATGTCTTTTGGATGCAAGAGAAAATGAACTTCCTGGAGATTTTTCAGAGTGTGGCTGCTACTGAACTCAAACACCACATCAAACATTAACTTAGAAACAACGGTTTTAGGAAATCCAAATCCTCCGGTCCCAATAGCTGGGAAAGAGATCGATTTCAGTCCAAGTTTTTCAGCTTTCTTCAAGCACAAATTGATTACATCTTCTAGGACCTGAAAAACACAGCAAAAATACTTTTTCTAAGGCATTATCTATTATTAGTTCCGAAGAGAATAACCAGTAGGAGAAGAAGCTCTCAGTGCATCAAAGCACCTTTAAGGTTACTCCAACAGAAGCAAATGGAGTCAAGCCATCTAAATTAATTAAGCTAAAACCTGAAACTTCAGGACAGATTGCAAAGACATCTGTTTCCAAATTGATTTACTTTAATTTAATATTTGAAAGGTACCTTCTCTGTCTCTGCTCCATTCCACCCGGGTAGTATGGCATGAAACACGGACTTGCAGGCCAGAGCATGTCCACTGGTGCAGACCACACTCCCTGGACCAGAAGCCTGACTTTGTTTTTCTTTGTCAAACTCTACTTGGAGTGCTGGTCCAGCTCTTTCCAGCAAGGCTTTGCAAAGAGGCCCCACGCCAAACTGCAGATCTGAGCCAACACTGTTGACAACAACATCCGTCTGCAACAAGATTACAGCAAAAATATCTGTAGCCAGACTTGGAGTCAAGATATGCATCAAGACAAACAGCACTACCAAAGCCACACATGGCATAAGAAACCAGATGCCCCTGGAGCAATAACCTGGTTTTCAGCACAGCTTCTGGACACTGAGTCTTCCTGGATTTGTAGGAAATCTGTGGTAGGCAGCATTAGACCCACTGTGAATACCAACACCACAGGTACTATGTGTGAGCAGGTCATCCATCCACCCACTCATCCACCCATCCACCCATCCACCCATCCATCCCTAGCTCTCAAGGCCTCAGCGGTGGTGAAGCTGTGAATCACCTTATCCTGAGCAGATGCCAATGTTTGGGCAGGTGAAATAAACCCATCCTCTGCCATTTGTCTCACCCCCTCTACCCAGATCCAGACTTTCCTACATTTCCTTGTGAAGAACCACTGCAGCATTGCTGCTTTTTCTCCAGCATCATCACAGGATGCAAAACATAGGTATTGTATAAGGTACATCTAATGTCAAAAGTTTAATGTCCCTTTCCTCCATTTCACTGATGTAGGATTGTCTACACCTTATCAGAAAAGCAGCACCTCATGAACCAAAATCAGGCACAGGGAGGTAGTTCTGCTGTCGTGAAGTAAAACAGGTGAAGTCATGAAGCTTGGTGATTACTTTGCTTTTTTCCACTGGAGATGTTTTAACTACCAAGCAATTTGACATGTGTGTCATACTGAGGTTTTTTTCATATCTAGTATTGCTTTCTTGGAATCAGCTTTTACATGCACCAACACAGCCACTGAAATAGGAGGATAATTATAATACTAGTAATTTAGGGATATTTTAAACTCCAAAGTATGAAAACCAGCAGTTGCTGAAAAAGATTTATCCAGATGCACTCTACATCATTGAAGAAAAGAAAACATAAGGGGAAACCTACATCAGAGGTGTAAATTGAGTCTTAATGGTCTATATGAGTAGCAGTTAAAACCTTTGCTAACAAAATTAATAAAAAAATAAAAGTGGGAGAAATCTGATCTAGACTTTGGTAAAACAATCTGAACATGGACTCTTTTACGGAGTCTCTTTTCTAGAACTCAGTAAATTCTCCATAGGCTGTCACTTTCACCCATCCAAAGAATAGGGAACTAAAAAAGAAGCTCCAACATCCCAGTTAGCCTTCCCAAAACAGCAGCCCGGGCAGGTACTGATTTACCATAATATCCAACCAAGATAGCTGCAGATCATACAAATAATTGTACGAGGTATTTCTACCTTCTACAGCAAACTATTTTACATGTTGGCCTTTGATCTGGAAAAAAGGAAAACAGAACCAAGCTGAGAATAAAACATCCTGAGATTCAAAGCTGCCCTCTAGAAACAGCTGCAGAGGGACAGATCCCAACCAGCACTCAGTTTTGCAAGCTTGCATCCCTGTTTAGCTAGCATGCAGCTCTTGATTCCTTACGTAGCAAGTGCCTTGTAAAACAGTATGACCTACTGTTCTTCCTTTTTTACTTAAACTAAAGAAGATTTTACCATAAAGTTAGAGAGCAAGCAGAAAATCGATGACCTACCGTGGCTTCCTGAGTGTTTTTCTCCTCTACATGGACACAAAGTCCTTCCTTTGTAGTAACCATCTTCCCATCTTCTTTTGTCTTCTCCTTCTGCCTTTTTCTCATCTTACAGCTTTCCACATGCGGTCTTGGGGAGGATGATTTACCTGAAAACACTTCTTTTACTGTCTCACTCAGGACCTGAACGGTTTCTTCAGCATTATCCACAAGATGGACCTCCTTCAAGCTGCTGTCCCCCATGGATCCTTCCAGGGTCTCCTTGATGGCAGATGCAATTGAATCTGCACATGTCTGCAGTGGAAAGCCAAAAATCCCTCCGCTTATAGCAGGCAGAGCTATGGAAGAACAATTGTATGTTTCAGCTAGTTCTAGACTTTTCTTCACTGCCTTTTTTAACAACCATATACACTTTTCTGGCTCCTCCTTCCTCCACCTGGGCCCAACAGCATGAATGACGCTCTTGCAGGGGAGTTTCCCAGCTCCCGTGAGAACTGCGCTCCCGGGCTGGAAACGCCCGATCATCCTCACCCGCTCATCGCACTCTTCTTGCAGTGCTGGACCAGCAGCTCTTAACAGTGCCCCAGAAATGCCAGCAAGGAGCTGTAGGTTTTCATTAGATGCATTCACCACAACATCAACAGGATAATCACTCAAGTCACCTTTATACACTGCTACTACAATTCCATGTGGCAGTCTTGTTTCGTAGTAGAGCTTTCTTTTCACTTTCTCACCCTTCCATTGTTGTTGTTGTTTTTCTTCTTCTTCCTTGATTCTAATGAAACAGCTAAATTTCTGCTTTGCCTCAAAAACACAGGAATCTTGCCTCTCAATGAAGAACTCTTTGGCTCCTGGCTTATCAATTGGCACATTTTTTGAGTAAAGGGATGAGACAAGTTTTTCAAACATGTTGACTGCTTCTGGCACTTCTGCTCTTGGTCCCCTCAGGGAAATACATGGTGTCTTGATGTCAAAACGTACTGTCACCCCTTTCTTCCTCAATTCACAATAAGCACCAGATTTCTCCTTCTCTATGAACTCTACCACCACTGAATTTGCTGGGATTATTTTTTCCACAAGCGTGTTTTTATCTATAAAATCATTAAGCTTCTGATAAACCTCTGTCACAGCCTTAGAAAACCCAGCAATAATCACTTTATTTTCTTTTCCAACAGACTGCTCAGTGATTACAGTTTCCTGGGAAGAACTGTATGTCTTATGCAAGGAGACAAGAAGTTTCTTCCACTGCTCTTTTTTCACGACCTCACCGTCCTCCACATTGATGCACTTGGATTCTAAGCTGGTTTTTATTTGCTTTTCTGCTTCTAAAAGGTCTGTGAGAGTATCTCCATACAGCAACACAGTATCCTTCTCAAGTTCATAAAAAGTATTAATTTTTTTCTGAAGGAATAATGTATCTGACATATTTTTATTATCCAAACCCTGTAGATAGTGGAAAACATGGGGATCAATGGACACTGATGTACAAGGCATACTCAACACCTTTTCCAGTAAGTCAGCTTTGATTTTATATACTTCCGCAGGTAATCCACACAACTGAACAGCCTTTTTTTTGTCATCATAAAAGATCCTGAGGCACGGATATTCCTTGTGAATATTCTCTTCTAACCCAGCACTGTGTAGCACAGCATACTTCCCTGGGACCACTGGCACAGAAATTTCTATGCTTTGTTTTTCCCTTTCACTTTGCTTCATGGCCTTTTCCATGCATTCCCTCACTTCTTTCTCTGCGCTCTCCACTGCTGCTCTGCTGCCTGCAATCACCACCATGTCCTCAGAAATATCAGTTATGATCAAAGAAACATCTTCCAACAACCTGGTTTTCACATCTCCCCAATCTGCTGACTTGACTTTACATTTTATAGCTGTGTAACGTGCCATGATACGTGAGAACTCCTCAGAAGCATCTTGCTTCCACGTCTTGATCAACTTAATCATTGTCTTGCTCTGCTCAGAGAGAGATGACGAAGGGCACAACGTGACGTTGGGGTTTGCACGGTCTCCCTGGGGCCATTTGAGCTCACAATGGCAAACTGCCATTTCCTGGTTTATGCCTTGGATCAGTTTATCATGCCTTTGTAAAAACTGCCAGACATACGGGTCTAGTGGCACCCCAACGGGGTCTGGCATCTTGATAGTTGGTCTTTCTCCTCCGTAGAGAGCTGTTCCCAGGGAGTGGTAATAGGGATGCACAGAAATCAGTGTCTGTTCCAGCAAATGCTGCTTTTCCAAGACTGTGTTCACATCTGAAAGGCAGTGCACATATGTACAAACACACAGATATCATTAACTTCAAATCAAGCAAATGTCTCTGGTTGTAGAACTATTACATTGATTTTTTTTTTTCTCTTTAATTTCAAAGAGCTATTTTTATGTCTCTCGGATTTCCAAACCACTCTGTAGGGGACAATGGAAGAGGCTTGGCTCCTACTAGTTGGGTAAATATGCTTGTGTCTGCTACACCTTGCTCTTGTTTCCTAAGGAAACTCCACCACAGAGCAGGGCCATATCAACATATACTATGAAATACTCCTTAACTCGAATGAAATTCTTCATGCCAGTGAATTTTACCTTTTTTTTTTTCCATTTCAGTTGGAATGGACTAAGCAAAGAAATTAGAATGTTGGCAGTGACTTATAACCACATTATAATGATCCAAATTACATATTAACTTCATGTAAAAAATATTCTTAAGAAAATTCTGTGAGTCAGATGAAAAAAAATCACTTGGCAGATAAATCTTTAACTAAAAGGAAATAACTTCACTAAGCCAGGAGTCTCCTAACACAGAGGTATTTACCAGAGGTTGCATAGCACAAAACAGGACACTGATTCAACACAAGGAATAGTAACTAGATTGTTCTTTAGCTCTATTCTTACCTGAAATGAAGATATTTCATCCTAATTAGTTTCTGAAAGTGAACTGTGAAAGCTGAAGTCATTGACAGATCCTGCTCTCTCTAAGTACAATTAGTGTTGTACTGCAGATAAAACCCTCTGTCAGTCAGTCAGTCAGTCAGTCAGTCAGTATGGCCAGTCTTCGCGAGCGAAGATTTGGGAAAGGTCATTAACCCTTCGAGCCTGCGCAGTGGATTTTTTAGGTGAGACACAGCGTGCGCTGAACTGAGCCCACCCTTTAATCCTGAGGTTCATCTGCCAGGGCCGAGCAAGCTTGGACAGTGGCAGTGAGGTCCCCAGGACGTAGGTTTGTTTAGAGTGACCTTCTCTTAGATCGATTGCCTTACAGGGCTAACAAGCTCCATCTGCCCGGGGGACTGGGAATCGAACCCGGGTCACAGTGGTGAAAGTGCTGCACCCTAACCACTAGACCACACACTGTCCAAGCTTTCTCGGCCCCGGCAGATGAACCTCAGGATTAAAGGGTGGGCTCAGTTCAGCGCACACTGTGTCTCACCTAAAAAAAGAGCAGACTTGAAAGGTTAATGACCTTTCCCAAATCTTCGCTCGCGAAGACTGGCCATACTATAAAACCCTCTGCAAATGGGGAAAAAACACCAGTGCGAACAACCCATGCACAAAGCAGGCTTTAAAAGGAATCTTTGATAAGATAAAGGAAAATAAACACCAAAAAGAAACCAAACCCAGGAAAACCACAAGAGATTCTGAAACCCTAGACATGCAGCAGTATTTCTAAATCCAGAGCACTCAGCTAAAAGGCAGCATACGCAGACTTTAGCGACAGCAAGCCAGGCTTTCCCTAATGAAAAATCTGCAGTGATTCGCTTGCGAGTTGTCTACCTGCAAGCACCTTGGTCAGGCAAAAGACAGTGTTACCTTTGCGATCACAGAAAGTAATGATGGCTGAGTTCTCCTCAGGGAAGTGCTGGACATCTGACACAGGCCCCCCTCCGTTCCGCGCACTCTCAAAGTAAACTGTGATGTAATCTGGGGAAATGCTGTCCGGTAGGTTTTCAGCCTTGATGGTCCGGGTCAATTCAAGAACCCTGGCAGTCATTTTGAATTCTCTGACTCTCTTGTGTTGTAAACATGTTTTCACAAATTCTTCAGTATCTGTAAAGAGAAGAGCAGGATGAAGGGACTGTGTTTTCCTGGGTCAATATCAGCCTCAGCTATCCATCCTGGAAGAGAACAAGCCCAGTCTACTTGTCTCTCTACTTGGAACAAAATGTCTTGGGTGCCAAATAAGTCTATGTTGTAATAAAAAAGGGGAAAAGTACATAACCGTGTTACTCTGTTATTCACTACCACTGTGTCTCTGTTTCCATCTCAGAAGTATCCTGTCTTCTCAAAAGGAGACTTTATATAGCTCAACAACTTGCAAAAATCCCCACATTCTGTGCACTTCCAATTCTTCTTCATCTAACCCAAACCAAGATGGGAACAATGAACCATTCTCATCCATTTTCAATGAATGGAGGCACCACCATTTTCTTTTTTCAGTGTAACATTTGGGTCACGGGCACTTTGGCAGAGCTGTATGTAAGACATCTTTCTTGAGAGACTGCAACCCAGGTACTTTTATAAAACAGTCTGGATCTCTAACAGGAGAGGAATTGGGCTCTGAAAGCTGTTACTTGTACATATACATGGTGATGAATGATGGTGTCCCCCTCTCTTACCAAGACTTTGTATAAAGGTAGCTACAGCAACATTTATTTCAGGTATCACTTCCACAGTGAAGTCCTCATCTACAGTCAGGCCGCTGATGTTCTCCAACAGCAAATGTAAGCAGTTTGGACTGCAATTTTGTATGTTCTCAAACACCACCGAAGGTGAGGTCTCTGCAGAGCTAGCTTCTTCCTGGAGTTCACTGCTTGGAACAAAACTCTCTGCAGCACAAAGATAAGTAAGTCATAGAATGTTGGTACACATTTCCTGGAATAAGCAGACTCTTCTTACCCTTACTCTCCTTTCCTTCCCCAAGAAAAGAAATTGCTAACCAAACAAATACTGCAGGGTATCCCTAGACACTTTGGGATCCAAAACAGCCCAGATGCAATATTCTGCAAGCTGCAGTCACCTTCTGTGGTGGCACAGAAGTAGGCATGAGTAAACAAGTCAAGGTCACTGGTGTGTCTCTGGGTCAGAGACTAAACTCAACTAAAAGCCATTGAGATAATTGGCCACAGCTGCCCAGGTGTCAGTAAGGGTTGGGAGAGACTTTGCAGCCTCTGCATCTATTTCTTAGCCCTGGTGCAGGTGTAACAAGCATGAACACAGCCCAGGACATCCACAGGCACCACAGGCCACCAGCAGCCCTGCTTGACTCGATGTAAAGCCCCCTGATGACCACCGTGCCCTGCCATCAGTGCAGCAGGAAGCTAAACCAGGCCCATTGTCCAGCTCTGGCCAGGTGAACTCCCATTCGTGGTGATCAAGTCTGCAGTGTCACCAGCCAGACATCTTTCCCTCTATCACCTGAGTCACACTACCAAACTCAGAAACTTTCAGCAAAACTGCCCCCAGAACGGGAGCCATGTGTGGAGAAAAGCACCAATATCTTTGTTTTAGGAAGAATCAGAGAGTGATGGATAGCATTTTACCTTTTGTTTGAAGGTTGCTCATGGCATCCAGAGCCTAAAATAAAATGAAAGCAAAATATCAGTGACACATTTCATGCTGTCACCACTGTTTCAAACCTCTGGTTGAGATTATAATTTTTATTCACCTCTGTGGGAGCTAGTTTTTCTTCAAGTGTCTCCTCTTCAGTAGCTCGTGTGGTTTCAGGCTCTGTGACAGTCAACTTCACTTTTCCTTTTCCTTCCAAATGCAACTCATGAGGCTGTCTCTGAAGAACTCGTTGCTTCACTAAATTAAACCAAAACACCCCAGTGAAAATCTGAATAGAAATACAGTTTTGGATTACCTAGCGCTTTTCCACCATTATGTTAGGACACTGTTGTGGTTTAGGAATGGTATTCCGCAATTTATTGCTCCCACTGAAACACCCCACATCACGTGCTACTTGCTAACCACCCCTTACCCCTGCACCCCCTGGTCACGGGATGGAGAGGAGAATTGGAGGCACAAAAAATTAAAGGTCACAGGGTGACATAAGGCCATTTTACTAGAAATCAGAAAAACGGGCAGTAACATCCCCAATCCTAATAGCAGAGTGTACAATAGGGGCGAGCACTTCAGGCGCCATTGCTCACCCAACCGCTTATTTCGCCAAACACTGGAAAACCGCCCTCCCTGCCCGCTCCCCCTGCGCTTGCTGAGGTGGGATCGAATATCCCCTGGGTCCTGGCTGTGCCCCTTTCGGCTGCTGCAAAAGTTATCCCTGTCCTAGCTGGACCCAGGACAGACACACATGCTGTCCCACGAAATGAAAGAGCTTTCAACTCTTTTAACACGAATACAGTACGCACAAGGCTTTCTGCCTGAAAAGAAACGGAAGAACAGCAGAGGACATTATTTCCCCGAAGAAACAAGAGAGATGCAAAGTTCAGCTCTATCACGTGTTTCATGGAGGTATCCGCTGAGTCGCGGTACCGCCCCCAACCCTTTCACATCCTCTTTCAGCCAGTGCCAAAATGGCTTGTGGCTCTATGTCCTGAACTTACCGGCTCTTTGAGTCAACAACTGGGAAGCATAAGGCAAGGAAAAAAAAATCTCTGTGTGTGTGTTTATGCACATACATGCATATGTATGTGTACATCTAACCCAATTGCAGCTAAATCCTTTCCGCCTTGCTGCAAGTTTAGAGAAATACAGGCGTGTTATATATGTCATATTTTATACATATATATCTGTAACTACTACATATATTGTTAGATTAGCGTAATCTTTATTATCCCAAGAGCAATCTGGAGAATACTGGTGTGCATCAAGATTAATATATATAGACATATAGCTCGTAGGATATATTTATTAGCTTATAGCTTTTCTGCAATACACAATCCAGAGCACTAAACACCAAATCTAAGCATATAGATAAGAAAAAAATCACAGAATCACAGAATATTCTGAGTTGGAAGGCATCCACAAGGATCGCTGAGTCCAAGTTTTGGTCCTGCACAAGACATCCACAAGAATCACACCATGTTTAGAGACTACCTATACTGTATATTATGGGGTGTATATGGCATCTATGTACTATAGATACTGTAGATCACATGCTAGACAGGAGACAGTATTACAACAACTAAGTTAGAACCTATCTTTTAACCAGCAGGAAGTTTAGGCTTGTGAGTTGCCACCCCCAACACCCTCACTCATCCCCGCAGGGAGCCCACACCCTGATCCATACCCCGAGCCCTGGACCCGCCGGGTCCCCCCCCCGACCCGCCCGGCCCGGCCGCTCACCCTCGGGGCGGGCGAAGCAGACGAGGAGGTGCCCGGTCCCGGTCTCGGCGTCGGTCCCGGCCCGCAGCTCGCACTCGCCGCCTCCCGAGCGCTTCTGGCTTTGGAAGTAGCAGAGCAGCTTCTTCTTCAGGGCGGGCGGCGGCTCGGCGGAGCCCCAGTCCCCGCGCACCAGCAGCGGGAAGGCGCCTGGGCGCTGCCCCGCCATCGCCGCACCGACGGATCCGCTCCCCGCCGCTTTCGCTTTCGCTTCCCAGAGCGGCGGCCGCGCCTTTTCCCGGCAGGCACCCGCCTCTCGGGGCTCCGCTGCCGTCTGTCGCGACACATCTGCTCCAGGCCGGCTCCTCGGGACCCCCGTCGCAGCTTCACACCCGCGCCCTTAAGCTTCTCTGCCCCTCGAACACCCAGAGCTGCCTCGGGCACCCCCTTCACCTGACGGAATGTCCCCTCTGCCCCTGTGCCGGGGGCTGCCAGCCCGTGTCGCTGTTGTCCCAAAAGAGTTTGTTTCACCCGCTGTACAAGAGGTCAATCCACACACGCAGTCGAGCATTTTATTTATTTACAGTTCTGTGCAGAAAGAGGCGCTGGGTGGCAAATCCACAAAGCCAGCACAGAGACTACCAAAGCGGTTTCTTTCACTGTTCATATATTTTATCAAACAAAGGCAGTAATGTTCCTTGGCTACAAGTTACTTAGTTCTCTTATTAATTAGTCTCGTCTCTTCTGCTGGTTAACGATTGTCTTACTTCTCATGCCAATTAATCCACATGCTCTCAATCTTTCTCTTCTTTTGGGTCGGTGAGTTTCTTCACTTGGTGGGCCAAGTGAGTTGGTGGTCATGATCTCCCCTTGCCGGAATTACCATTACCCCAGTCAAAGCTGATTCAGCACAGTTGTTGAGTTATCTTTAATAGTTTCTTCTTTATCTTGGGGATCCTGCCAAATATCAAAACATCAGTTTGTCAAGATACTTTTACTTACCTTCAGATTTATCAACATGTCTAATGGATGTTTGCTGTCCTTGGTCATCCACAGCATATTTAAATTTCATATCCACTGTGTATTTTTTCTCACCAGTGGTGACTGAAATACTTTTCTGCTTTCCCCTGTAAGCATTTTCCAACTGCATATTTGTGAGGCTGTCTGAGGGCACATGGGAATTGTTCTCAAAATATTACCCCAGTCAAGCTGATTCAGCCGATTTGCTGAGTTATCTTTAGTAGTTTCTTCCTTATCTTGAGCATCCTGCCAAATGTCCTTGTGGCATTCTTCACGTTCACTGTCAGTGGTACATCCTTCTCCTGAAGCTTTGGTAACCTCATCCTAGGTCTGAGATCGCTGAGACATGTCGAGCTCTAAATCTTAACAAGGCAATTCTATGTAGCACTAAATCTG